CTTTGCAGCTTCAGGACCTGGACGACTTGCCATAATTGCTGGAAACATGAATTCTGCACTCTATCAGAAAATCCTGAAGGAGAATGTCCGGCCATCAGTTTGTGACCTCAAGCTCAAGCGCACTTGGGTTATGTAGCAGGACAATGATCCCAAACACACCAGCAAGTCCACCTCTGAATGGCTCAAGAAAAACTAAATTAAGGTTTTGGAGTGGCCAAATCAAAGTCCGGACTTAAATCCGATTGAGATGCTTAAACAGTCCATTCATGCTCGAAAACCCTCCAGTGTGGCTGAATTAAAACAATTCTGCAAAGAAGAGTGGGCCAAAATTCCTCCACAGCGATGTGAAAGACTCATTGCCAGTTATCGCAAACACTTGATTGCAGTTGTTGCTGCAAAGCGTGGCACAACCAGTTATTAGATTTAGGGGGCAATTACTTTTTCACGTAGGGCCGGGCAGGTTTGGACAGCTTTTTTCCCTTAATAAAATAAATAATCATTTAAAAACTGCATTTTGTATTTACTTGCATTATCTTTGTGTAATATTAAAATTTGTTTGATGATCTGAATCTTTTAAGTGTGACAAATATGCAAAAAATGTAAAAAACAGGAAGGGGGCCAACACTTTTTCACACCACTGTAGTTATCAGTATTATTAGATTTAAGGCAATGATTTTTCTTCTTTTCTTAATAAGGGAGAAATGTGATGTTGCATTAGGGGCCTTAAATGATGCCTGAAAATGTTGTCAGTGTAGGCACGCTAGGTTTTGGAACAGAGCTATTGGTTGCCGTTTTGAAGTGAGTGACTATGTCCTGTTCTTATTCTCGAAGAGTGTAATTTTCCCACGCTCCATCCCATAGCTGCAGTCTGTGGAGGAGACGCTGTGTGAGGTCCGGGATCAACTCTCTCGATCTGGAGTTGTGAATTCTGAACTAGCAGTTCCTCTGTTTGATTCCTTACTCCGTGTGGCACTGGCTGAGATGTTCTGCAGTCCAGATGTCATCGAGGAGAAACCTGACAAGGTAATTTAGTTGCTTGTGTAATAAGTCTTTAGTGTTCCCATCCTGTACAGGCATGCTGTCTGTACGTTTGGGTGACTCAGGTTTGAGTCTGATCTTCATCTCATTGCCCCTCTTTTGTCTCACCCAACCACATAGTTCCCTTTCACTGCCTGCTGTCTAAAGCCAAGGAAAGTAGTGAATGCTCTAAAATAAAATGAACTTTTGGTGACTAAATACAAAATCCATAGGGAGGATTATATGCTATATAATTAATTTTGATTAGTACTTATGTAAAAAAGGGCTGTTTTTTTTTGGTTTCTGTTGGTTTTCTGTAACGTACTGTTTTGCTTGTTGCAAGGTTTATATAACTGGCTTAGTAGATTCTCTCAGTTGCATTGAGGGCTAGGCCTGTCACGATAACAACTTTTTGTTGTGCGATATATTGCCCCAGAAATAATTGCGATAAGCGATATTATTGTCATTTTAAAGACCATTTTATGCCACTGAATATATAATCATAATATAACAACATAATAATGCAAGAAGGCCTACACACTTACAAATGACAACAAACTTTTAATTTTTAAGAATATTTAGATCATGGAAATTAAGTATCAAAATATTAGATACCTTAAAAAACTTGAATAAATAGTAAATAAGCATTTTCTAACAAAAAGTGCAAAGTAACAAGTAGAAAAAAAGAAAAATGCACAAATAACTTTTATGGAGATTTTTCCATCTACAGTTTTTTCCCTGACCTTCTTTTCTTTGTAAATTAAGGGTGCACACTATTGCTGAAAAACACAATCACTACTTAGCAGTCAGATGTCCATATGCACAAAGGCACAGATCCCTAAACAAGGCCATATCTGCAGATCTAAAATTTGAACTAGCACCTCATGACTACACCACGTTATTTACGAGAAGCTGCAAAAGACACAGGCACAAGTGGAATGTACAAAGCATGGTGACATTAATTTTTAAGTAAATATAATGTGCGATATATTGCGTCACCAAAAATTATTGAGGTCATGTACATATATTGCGCGATAAGTCGATATATTGATTATTGCGACAGGCCTACGGCTTTTCTTACCAGCAGTATTGTCTGTAGTGAAACACATCACCGAATAATTCCCAAATAAATCTTATCATTTGGACATAGTAAGATTTGTTTTGGCGCTCTTCAGTTCTTTAATACGTAAATCTGCTTTCTGAAATAAAATGACCTCTGGCCAACAAGGATAAACAGCCTTTTTGTGTGATTGAGCACCGTGGGGCACATGGGGGATGTATTTTATGTGGAAACAGTCAGCTGATGTGGTCCTGTGACCAAAATCATATTTTTTTTTACTTTACCAGCTTTCTGAAATCACAAACTTTGTCTCTCTAACAAAGACAACACCAGAAGAGGTGTTATACGGATTGTTTACTTTAATTTTTTTGCAATGCAACAAGACATTATTCTGAAAAGAGCTTATTTTCTAGAAGGTAAGAATCTGCTGCCTGCTTTGCTTTAATCTACTTTGCTACCTCTTGTTCTGATATGTTGTGACGTTGGAGAAACGAAAGCTCTAAAATTTAGAACTTAGGTTACTTTGTGTGCTTGTGTAAGAGAGAGCGATTTTGGACTTTTCGTTTTAACTTTGATGCTTGAACACATAGTCCTTTTATTTATTTATGCTTTTTGTTTTTACATTTATTTATTAATAAATAAACAAATAATAAACAGAACTTTTTATTAGTTACCAAATGGTAAAATTAGTGTCTTTGCAGTGCTGATGCATACTAGCATGCTCATCATTGCTGGGCAGTGCTTTACACACAATTCTTTGCTGGCCTTATAAAGTTTGTACAGTCTTTAAAAAAAAAAAAAGAGACTCAAATCATCTTCAGTTTTTCTGACATCTATTCTACACAATGCTTCAGAAAAACCATAATGAAAGTGCAAGTGAAGACACAAAACAGGAAGTGAGGCAGTGTCAGAGCAAAGGTTTTGAATATTCGCATGAAGCTTGTATGGTACAATTGTAACTGAAAATCTATATGAACGGCTTGCTATGATTAAACAATGACAACAATAACAATAATAATAATAATTGTACTGTATGTACTGTAATGGCCAAGATACAGCTATTTGAAAATCTGGAATCTGAGGGTGCAAAAAATCTAAATATTGATCAAAATATTGAGGTCCTTAGCAATGCATGTTACTTATAAAAAATTAAGTTTTGATATATTTATGATAGGAAATTTACAAAATATCTTTATGGAACATGATCTTTACTTAATATCCTAATGATTTTTGGCATAAAAGAAAAAT